GAAACCATTGTTCCAAATAGCTTAAACTTTTGATCAACTTGGTTAACCTTCACAAGGTATTGATGGAATATTTTATATACACTTTTGTCCTTTTCCGATAGTGGTCAACTACCAATTTTGGCATGTTACCAAAGGACACAAACATGAAAGCCCCTTCAATACTGATTTTCCTCAGCAACCTGCCCTGAAAGACGTACTGCTTCCGTTGCCAGCACAATTAGTCTCCACTGTGATCCTTCATGACGGTTAGTTTGTAAGACAAATTCTAGAATATCACTTTATGAAAAAGTGCTTCCTTTTATTGTCTTGAATCTGTTTAGGTAAAAATGGGTTCTAGTATTTTCAGACCAAGGTAAATTTCTCATTGGTTACTTCATATCATGCATAATTTTATACAGCAGCTAAAATAACCCCTTTCCTGCCTTTCTTCTGAAGCTGACACCTCACCCCCTCCCCTGGATCTCTTCATCACTAGCAAAATCCATCTCTGGCCGGCTACCCTTAGTGCAGGCCCCCACCAGTGGATACTTTAGGGGAAGCGGTTTCTTCCCCTCTTGTGTGCCTCATTTTAATGCCAGTATGCAAAATTCTTTGGGAGATCCACACTGATCATTTTGTGTATATATTAATCTGCTAACAGTAACAAAATGTTAATGCTAAATTGTTTCTGAATAAGTTGACAATCACTAATTCCAATATAGATAATTGAGAGTACATTACTTCCTCCATTAGGAAACAGGTAATTTATTCTACTCTCCTTCCTGTTCTTCAGCTAGCTACTAATATAGCTATTATTAGTTATTATTAAGCTGCTCTTATTTTCAAACTGTTTGCACAAAAACCTCTGGCAAGGACTGTCTATCAGATCACTTCTAATCCATTTAGCTGTTTTGCTCTGAGAGCGTAGTGGAAATAATTTCATAGTCCTCCAGTTAATTGTTTACTTGAGCTTCTAAAAGTTCAAGTATGTACTCTTTGCTCTACAGGACACCCGTTTGTGGTCATGAATGCTTGTTAACACAATCAATTTTTATATTCTTGAGCAAAGAAAATACAAGTTGAAACAATTAACTGAATTCTGCAAACAACTGACTTCGTGAGATGTCTTAATGGCCAAGATGAGAGTTTAAGAGACATACAAGTAGTCCTCATAATAGTTGGGACTGGGAACTCTGTCGCTAAGTAATGTGGTCATAAGGCACGTCGTCACGATCGTGCTTACAATGGTTCTGGCAGTCCCAGTTGCAGTCATCAGGCAAATCCCACATGGTCACATCCCACGGTCACATGATCACCATTTGTGATCTCCTGCCAGCTTCCCCATTGACTTTGTCAGAAGCTGGGCAGTGAAGGTCACAAATGGCAATCGTGACAGCAGGGACACTGTGATGGCTGCAACTACAAGGACCTGTTCTAAGTACCCCTTATTCAGCACCATCATAACTTCAGTCACTGAGCAAGTAGATGTTAAATGAGGACCTGTATAAAAATATTGGAGCAAAAATTGCAGTCTAAAGAGCTTGTGACCCCAGTGTGATATGTCTCCTTCATGCTGTCATCAAATATCATTTTGACTATTCATATTATTTCTCTTTTGGATGATTCCATCTCATAGGATATTCCCTCTTAGTAAGCCATATAGCTTTAAATTATGTAATTCTAAAGCTAATTCAATTTTGTTCTTTACATTTCCCCCCATTTTATGGAGATTTGTCTGCCAGTGATGCAATAACATGACAAGTTTTCTTTTGGACTTCTTTCCAGTGATACTCTTGCCTCTGAAATGTCAGTTTTGCACAGGAATACGGAATAATGTTTTGGTTATTGTTTGACCATCTACCCCAACTTCCATTCTTAGACTTCAAATGCCTTAAATGGTAACTCCCATCACCTCATCTCACACAATCTTGATTTTAAAGTTGTTTGTACAACTATGCTATTGTATTGTTTTTATACTTACTATTAATGCTTATTTTTACAATAAAATTATTGATTTGCTAATAAACTGTAGATTGTAAATTGTGTCTGAGAAATAATTTTAAGAGAGTTGAATACATCTGGCAGCTCAATAAGATCTTCTCTATTTCTTTTTCCATTACTACACTTCCACATTTATTTCTCAAATAGTTTTTTAAGTTTTAAAGAAATGTATAAATTAAAAAAAAACAGTTCTTAAATTCTAAGGTAAAATATATAATCTGGGAACAACAGTTGGGGAATGCATTCTATTTATTTGATTTTTAAACCTCCACAATTGTATGGCCAATAACAAATGAAGAGTCTCTTTGGCAATATATTGTTTTTGTCTTTTTATTGAAGCAGTAGTCACATGATTGTGCATCTAGCTTTCTAGAATACCAACAGAATAGATTTGAGTGGTCATCTGACCTAAATTCTTCCTTTGTGCAAATAAACATCACATTTGATAATACATTATCAAGGACTGAAAATCAGTTCAAAGATAACAATGTGCTGATACGTTAAAGGAACAGCTCCACCTGATACGATACGATACACTCTTAGAACCATCACCTGAACTAAGGAAGTGCTTTACAAAGCCCCAGAAGCCCATCCTTTGGGTGAACTGTTCAGCAGGGGCTTATGGTATGATTACCGTGAAAGGCTTCCCTTCTTTCTCCACCAAATCAAACATAACACAGGACCTGTTCTAGCCTGTAACAATATAATAACTTAAAGATGCTAATTCCTTGTCCTTTTATTATTATAATCAAACCCACCTTCTGAGTGGAGGAGAGGGACAGGTCTAGAAAAAGTGCCACAGCAAAGAGTCCAGGTGATGGACAGGAAATATTTCGAAATAAAGACCACACACTTTGTAATTTTTAAATTTCATGTCCAGGCTAACCTACGTTTTATTTAATGCAAATTACAGTACCAGTTAACTATTTCCGAACCAAGTCACACAGAACATAATGTATTTACAAAGGAGAAGAAGGGAGGAGATAAAATAATGAACATTAAGCATACATACCACAAAAAAGTTTATACTTAAAATGAAAAAGTAATCAGTCACAGAGGCATTCAAGTAGTAATAACGTTATACATGTTTTGCTTCTTTGAATCAAGACAGCTTTGCGTGTGTATGCAATAGTTTGTATACAACCCACAGTCCATTATATATATATTTAGAACTCTGCTTTTAGGATGAAAGTGATCACGCTAATTGTGTGTACAGGCCCAAGTGATCAGCAACATAGTAACAAATGCAAATTTTACAAGCAAGCATATTATTTATATATATAAACGGTTTTTTGTATTTTTTCCCCAAAAAACCAAGAACAAACAACACTAGGAAGAGACATATCTCAAGCTAACCCTTTAGGTACCAGTCATTTTGCTTTTATTGCCTTGTTGCAAAATGAAGCAAGGAATTAGTTCCTATAGAAATATTGGGAATTAAAAGGTGTTCTGATGCGCACATCTGAAAAATATCAGTCCTGGGCTAGATAACTAAACTGTGCTTTTCCTTACTGGCTTTGATCTCTAGAGGCTAAGATATTTAATGGAGAAAAATGCTGATAACATTTTTAATTTGGGATTGTTTCAAATTAACACTTATTACAGACATCAACTATTACTTGGCTTATTCATAGAAGGAAGCTTGTTCAAGCACCAGCTAGATGACATTAAAATAATCTGTTGAAAAAGAAAAGAAAAAGAAAATAATCTGTTGAAAATTCCATTGAAAAAGAAAAATACCATTGTTTGAAAGGACATATTTCAAAATTAAGATTACTAGTGCCTTTTTTCTGACTTTCAGTCAACGACACAGAGAATATCATTAATGCCATCTCAGGGTTATGCACAATTGCAACGCAGACAAAGGATAGATTGAGAGACTATACGGTACTTCATTTAAAAACAAACCATAAAATTTAAATTCTGAGTGGACTGTCAGAAACAAAATACTCTCACTGACCTTTATGTCACCAGAAAAATGGCATCCTCTGTCTTACTGGAATGAACAGAAGATGGTTACAAAAAGCTTAAAAAAAAAAGCAACCTTTGGTTTGATAAAAAGTTCAGCATTTTGCCATTAAAGAAAACCTCATGTAGAATATTAACAAAGTTGAATATACATATGAGCAGAGTTTTAAAAGCAAGGCCTTTGTGCTGAGCAAAAAAAATTAACGTTCATAAAAAAAAAATTGGCAAGTAAATGAGAAGGGAAGTGATAATCTATGGTTATAAACACTTACTACCACAAATTTATTTCTGTCCAAAAAGGCTTGCAAGATTTCTAGATCTAAAAAACGCAGGTGTATGTATGTGATCCCAGTTCTTCCCTCCCCAATTACAGTTGCTTACTTATTTTACAATCTCCAATTCTGTCTCTGAATGAACAACATGGCCAAGCAAAAGCTCTAGGAAGCGGTGGTCTACAAGACCCCTTGAAGAACATATTGGGCAAGAATTTGCAAAATGTAAACCTGTCCTTTAGATGCCAAGGTGTCGTTGATACAGTGAAACCAGTTACAGTGGGGATATGTTTAAATAAGTGTGCAAAGTACGGGGAAAATGGTGGCTCCAGATGCTGCTGAGCTGTAACTCGCTGCTATCAATGCAGCAGAACGAGTACAGCCACGGATGTCTGGATGCATTTTCTTTTAACGCTGCTACTGACCATGAAATGGTTGAAAGAAGGGAAGCATGTCTGCACATATGAGGCATCTGTTACAAAAAGGAAGAAAAAAATCATGGAAGCAAAGGCACTCCAAACTATATAGATACACTATACATTGCTAGAGTTATTGTTACAATAATACAGGCCAGTTATCTACTGTACATAGTTAGAACTATATGGCTTTAAAAAGCTTGTCTACATTTTGTCTGATTATTAAAACAAATTAACTGCCCTGAATGGTAACATTTGTTCATTAATAACAGTTCCTGTGTCCACGTATTTACATATAAAGCAATAAAACTTAAAAGTTTAAGAACTAATGTACAAACTTGAATTTGGTGAGGAGCTTTTGTCAGTTTATTTACAAAAAATGATATTGAAACACCTGGATCTAGATTTATATAAAATTTTGCTTGCAGTTCTGCCATGATCCTTAGGAAAAAAATCAGGATCCTAGTTTTTATACACACACACACATACACACACATATACATTAAAAAAAAAGTGTTAAAGCTTTTAATTATTCTCCTCTATTAGATTTAAACCAATAAAAATAATACAAATCCTCCTAAGATCTCCTCTTTCTGAATTCAGACCATCTTGCTATCATGACTACAAAACTGAGCTCTGACTAAGATGGTTGTACGCTCAACACGGAAGACACCTGTGGGCTCATTCCATGCAGCAAGAGGACCTTCTAGACCTCCCATTCATTACGGATTCTTTTCCAGTCAGCTTTAGTTTTTGAAAGACAGCTTCCTGACTCATGGCTCTTAACAACAGTTTAAGTGATGATGTGAACGGTCTTTAAAGTCATCTGATTTTTTTTAGAGAACCCACCACTCCTTTCTGAACATGCCCTATTCATCATATGAGGGCTTCTCTTCCCTCAATGACTTCACACCTAAGAAATGAATATAAACTACTTGCTCTCCTTGGCCCAAGTCTAATTTCAAAAGGTTCACCAATGAAAGATATTGCAAGGTAAACTAAAGTTAATTTGATGTAAAGCTAAATAAGTACAGCTATCAAATCAAAGAGGAAACTAGTCACAAGAACCCATTAGTGCTTCACTCATTAGTAATGGCATACTTTCTCAAAACCTTTCTCAAACCATCCAAGGCATATTGCTTTCATGTCACAGAGACCTTTGGCCACAATTTAATAATCCAGAACAAAGACACAGGAAACAGGCATTTCTGCTTCAGAGTATTACTAGATGTAAAAATAAAAAGTAGCACTATATATGTGCATGCGTGCTTGTGTGTACATATATGTAACACAAATATACACATACACACACACTTGACAGCTGGAGCAAGTAAACTATTTGTCTAGAGATTAATATTCTCCATTGTGACAAAAGCAATTCCTGAAAACCAGTAAAGAAAGATTAGAAAGGAAGAAGCTGAAAAATGTGAATTTAAATATAAATTCAAACTGGGATTTAAATCTACCTGTTAAATAATCTATCAACTTAAAAGCTCTATATGCTATGAAAATATTATGTCCATTCACATTATATCCCTTGCATTTTTTTTCAGTCTGCTTTTTCAAGAAAGAAGTCAATTTAGACTAAACAGAACACAGAAGGATCTTTGTATTTTCTATGCATGGAGGGATATGCACACCTATGCCCATCTACTGAGGTGTGGATATGATTGGTCATGCTTTCTTCTATGCTTTACAGATCTTTTAATATCCACTGCCTAAAATGTTGGGATAGGTACATTCAAGGCAATATTACATGTTTGCAAAATTCTTCAGAGGCAAATGAAATTTAAGGTGATTTGTTCCTTACTAACTGTTTTTCACACTGTAACTTCCCCTCTCCTTCATAGTTCCCTTTGGCAATTCAGCATATTGTAGCACCTCATCTTGTTCTTCCTCCTCACCCAACACAAAAACATTTAATTCCAGCAAATTATACTCAAGATGAGCAACTTCTGTTAAACTCCTAACCAAATTCAAGTTGTGCACTACACCAAAAACTGAAACTTCACTTAAAAATACAAGGCTTCAGCAGAATGAGGGGTTTCTTTCTTTCCTTTTTTCTGGTGATGGTGGTGATGGTTGGAGGGCGTCAGATAAGATTCCTGATTCTAAAGTACACAACAGCAATTGTCTGAAATTAGAAGATTGTCATGGGAAGAGAAATTGGTGTGTTCTAATAATCCATTTCCCTTTTCCCGCCCCACTTATTCCCCTGCCCCAAAGAGCCTGCAGAGTGAGCATACAATGAAACTGGTTTTTTACAAGGTTAAATAAGAACAACAATTTTTAAAAATTCAACACTATAATGAACAGTTTTTCCCCTTCTTTTTACATTTTCTTTCCAAATGTGACCAGTGTTGCTGAGTAAGACTCAAAATTACTGGTGATTGTTCCTGTACAAGCTGCTGCTTGAGATCAGTTCAGGTGGAGTTGGAAGCTGATGTTGAAGCTACATTATTGGTCTGACCTCGATCACCTGCACTGGCATCTGCAAACATCAGACCAAAAAAAAAACACGAAAGAGTTGGTTACACGTCAGTAATATGAAGTTTTACGGACAAGCTTCTGTTCTGCCTTTTGTCCCAGGAAGGATAAAGGGACTCAAGAAAGACCCAAGCCTGTCATCTAGAAATCTATTCCAGAGGGAAGGGCGTCTTTGGCATCAGAAGGTATAGATCAGACTGTTTTTCATCTGCTGCTGGACTTGCTCCACGTATTTTATCTGATAGAGCAATACTGGCTGGAGGTCAGTATGACAAAAGCAGCAGAAGCAACTGCCATGACTATCACTGTAAGTTATTCCTAATTTACCAAGAGGAACCTGGAAATATAGTAAAATTAAAAATAGCATGTTAATAATGATAACTGGAGCATAAGGCACATTTGAACAATACAACTAATTATATTTTATATTCTTTACCTAGTATTTAAAATTAAGTCTTCACACGTACAGTACCACTTTTAATTATTTTACATAATAGAGCATGAGGTGTTAAGGATCTGGTTTGTAATCTGCCTGATAAGAGGATGAGCACAATTTAATTCTACAAAAACAAACCTAATATTGTCAGATGTAGAGGGAGAAATATTAGGTATTAGAAACTTGCCATTCTTCCTAGCTCTGCTAAGCATGAATTTTTTCCAACTCCTTCTTGGAACTGGTACTATAGACAACTACTACATAAGGAAAATTATTCAGCAAGAGGGAAGAGACATCTTCCTATTTCTCTGTGACCCATTCTGAAGCTCCAAGGTTTCAGCAGGCTCAGAGAATGGATTTTTTTTTAACAGAAGGTTGAAAAAGGAAAGCATCTGTTTGAGACACTATAAGAAGGTAGACCCAAAATACTAGTCAAATAGATGCCTCATATTAACCACATAAAGTAACAAAGAAATGGTCACCAACAGCAACCGTTTTTTAAACAGCCCAGAGTTGTTTCAACAAGATGGGTGGTGGCAAATCTGATTGATAGATTGATTGATGGACTGACTGACTGACTGACTGACAGATAGAACCTTCCCCCACGTTACTGGAAGCTGAAAAAATCACTAATTGACCAAAATAGGTAGTGAATAAGAAAGAAGTGTGCTTTAAACATCTGGCTAGCTGCTGGTGTGCCCGCTACCTGTGGAAAAGCTGGGAAATATCATCAAGAAACTCCAGATACATGCTGATTTCCATTGAAACCATTGAAAAGTAGTGTAACCACTTGAGTCACCTTGATGGATTACCTCTGATGGAACTGGGTACAGAGAGGAGAGTGAGGCCCTACCTGTTTTTATGGACTTCATGGTCCCACAGAGAGGTTGGGAATAAATGGGTTTTCCCCTACCAGATGTGATGGAATGTGAAGGTGACACTGGAAGACAGGGGAAGAGATGCCACCTAGGGAACGATCAGATAAAAGAGAAAGGAGTCCGCAACAGAGTAACGGCCAGAAAAAGAAACTTAGGAAGGACCTGCCCTAATACTCAGGCAGTAAATGAGGGCGGGAGATTTGTACTTTCAGACTTGCAAGATTCTGTTAATGTAGCCTTACAATAAA